AATTTTTACTTTGAGGTGGCTTTTTTAAACAGAATTTCAGATAAATCTGACCTCTGTTTACTTGTTAATTGTTCTCCAGGTAAAAATCAATAGCCTGGGTAAATATCAAATGGGCTATAAAATTTTGTTTTCATTGTTTATAAAATATCTTCCTAGGGACTGAGTTTTTAACAATCTCATTTTCAGATCTTGTACTAGTTAGTTAAACGCTCATAGGATATATTTTTAAACAAAGAACCTTATGAAGTCATTTTCAGCTAGAGTTCTTAAGTGAGTGTAGTTTCTAAAGTTTGTCCAGTTTATGTGAGAGATGTGTTCTATTTGTGGCTGTGATACTGTCTGACCATTGTGAGATTCTACCAAGTTGCTAAAGGTCCCAAATGGGTGCTGCTTTGGTTAACTTAATCCCCAATACTACAGTATTAAAAGTTGTGGACCTTAGGAGGTGATTGAGCCATCATGGCCCTACCCTCATGGGATTGGCACTGTTATAAAGGAGTTCAAGGTTGAAGGGGGAGCATTCTCTCATCCCTCTGCCTTGTGAAGAGATGAGACAAAGCCTTCACCAGACACTAAATGTAATCTTGGACTTCTCAGCCTTCAGAACTGTCAGAAATAAATCTTTACTGTTTATAAATTACCCAGTGTATAATATTTTATTATAGTACTATAAGTGGACTAAGACAGATGGTTACTCCAATTATGTCATCCTAATACACAAGCTTAATTACATTATTTGATTATAAAAACTGCCTTTGCTCAAGCTCTATCTTCTGATTCTGTGTTCTAAGTTTAATTTCTTACTATGTTACCTGGATCATCTTTCTATGCTACAGGTGGTAGACAGAATGTTAACCTCTCAATCTTATCTATTCTAATCCCTGCAACCTAGGAATGTGTTATCATACATGGAAGAGAGCAGTTAAGATTCCCAATTGGTTAACTTTAAAATAAGAATATTTTCATGAATGAAAGGGGTTGACCCAAGTATAGTCATAAGGATTCTTAAAAATTGGTGTGGAATTCAAAGGACAAGTTCAGCTATAGGATACAAGAAGAATATACTGTTCTTGGTTTTAAAGAGAGAGGAAGAAAGGAATATGTGTGGCTTCTAGAAGTTGGAAAGGAGTGGAAACAGATTCTTCCTGAGGAAAAGTAATACAGACCTACCAAAACCTTGATTTTAGCCCATTGAAATCCATGTTTCTGAACTAGAAAACTACAAGATCATAAGTTTGTGTGTTTTAAACCACTACCTTGGGCTGAGAATGTTAATAAGTAATAAATCCTTGTCTAGAATGCGTGAATCCCTGAGTTTGATAACTAGTACAGCAAAACCAAACAAAAACCAGTAAGTTTGTAGCAATTTATTAATAAAGCCATAGAAAACATTCCATAACTTTGATAAAAATTATAGTTTGGCATCATTTTCAATTTCTTTGCAATTTTATAGTACTAAAGTGCGAGCAATTACCATCCAGCTATTTGGCTTAGGGTGGTAGACTATATACAGCAGATCTGGCCATGGTCTACCAGGCAATGCCTTTATTTTTACATTCCCAACCCCTAATACAATGACTGCCACAGCAGAGAGCATAGTAACAGTTTCTGCGGTAAATAAATATATGTTCTAATTAGAGTTCAAATCAGGATTGTTGTTAGGTATGCATTATTGATTTATGTTCATCTTTTGTGTGGTAAAAGTGAGTTGTTAAGTGAATGTAGTTTCTAAAGTTGACTAAAGAAATAGGTTAAGATGGGTTTTCAAACTTAAGTGTCCATTGGAATCACCTGGTGGGTCTGGTAAAACACAGATTTTGAACCCTCAGGCTTACATTTTTTAATTCAGTACCTTTGGGTGGAGCCTGAAATTTTGCAGGCTGATATTGCTATTCTGGTGCTCACTCTTATGACATTTCATTCCTCAGCCCCTCTTGGATGCACTCTGGGCAAGCTAGCTGCACATGTTCCCTGAGAATTCGGCCTGTTTTTCTTTTCTGTAGCCATCCAATCTGTCCATGGAGGTTATAGTCTAGAGGCTTGCCTAGTATAATTACTAGTTTCCCTGAGGTTTGTTCCTCCTTCCCAACCCCTAGCCTTCCTGCCTCAGAAAATAAACATTCATTTAGTTCTTTTCATTTGAATAGAGAATAATAAAGCTAAACTTTAAAACAATCTAAAATTGAAATGGAGACATTAAAAAGGTTAATTCTTTAAATCCTATTATTGAAAAGAATCTGAGATTTTGATTCCCTACTGAGATGACTATCCTCCTGGAGGGTTTACCTGGCACTCAAATTATATAAGACTTCCTATCAATCACTCCACAACACACTACTTCCACAAAAATAACCCTTCAGCATACTTCTGACATTGTATTCACCCATGCCATTTTGTGATTTTTCTATATATTTTGTCCACTACACAGTTTATCTTCTGTCTTAATGCTTTCCATAGTAGTATCTACCAATTAAGATGTGCTAGATAATGCTACAGAAGGAAGAAATAAATAAGCAAGTGAAGTACAACCCTTTGCTTCTATTTCCCAGAGATGGTGGGATCTGTCAGGTTTTCTGATCCCTTGCAAAGCTACTGGCAAGGCTGAAGAATGTTTGCTTTTAAGGGGTAAATTGAAGCTCTGAAGATGTCTTGATTGGGTGTCGCTCATTCAGCTAAGTCACCCACCATGCCCTCCTAAATCACCAAATAAATAAATTTAAGAATTTCTTAAAATAATTTCTCTCTTTTTTTCTGTATGTGATTATCTTCTTATTTGGCTGTGTTCCTATCGGTCAGTTGAACAATTGTTTTTTTTTTCTCCCTGGAAAACTTGTAGGATCTTTTCTTTGTTGCCATTGTTCTGAAATTTTATGATCATATACTTCAATGTGATTGTATTTTTATTCATTCTATTTGGCATTTAGTGGGCTTTTTAAATTTGAAGTTTTTAAAATTATTATTTAGGGTTTTTAAAATTAAAGGCAGTAAATGGACTGGGCTTGTGGCTCAGTGGTAGAGTGCTTGCCTAGTATGTGTGAGGTACTGGGTTCAATTCTCAGTACCACATGTAAAAACAAATAAATGAAATAAAGGTTCATCAACAACTAAAAAAAATTTTTTTTAAAGGTAGTAAATGTACATGTGAAAAAAAATTAACCAATATATGAGCATATATAAAGAAAGTAAATTTACCTTTTCACCAATCTCCTTTCCATATACAATAGCCATTCTCTTTAGTTCTTTATGATGGTGATTATTAAAAGCACCTCTTTAGAAATCAAGAATATCATAATATATAATCATGGTAATGTACATACATATTTTAAAAATAGGCAGTGGGGTTCTGGCTCTGGTAAAACACTTGCCTAAAGTGTTTGCTTTACCAGAGCCAGAACTGCAGTCCCTATTTTTAAAATATGTATGTACTTGCCTAGTATACATGAGGCACTGGGTTCAATCCCCAGCACCACATAAAAATAAATAAATAAAAGTATCATGTCCATAGACAACTAAAAAAATATATTTTAAAAAATAATGCTGAGGGCTGGGGATGTGGCTCAAGTGGTAGCGCGCTCGCCTGGCATGCGTGCGACCCGGGTTCGATCCTCAGCACCACATACCAACAAAGATGTTGTGTCCGCTGAGAACTAAAAAATAAATATTAAAAATTCTCTCTCTCTTTCTCTCTCTCTCTCTCTCTCTCTTTAGAAAAAAAAATAATAATAATGCTGAGTTTTGCCACTACTTTATCATTGCCTCTCTGCTTATGTAATTTTGGAAAAGTATTATATAGTAATATAACCATACTTCTGGGAAATTTCTAAATACGAAAGTACTCACTTGATACTTATATTTACGTTCATGTCTTTTATTTCTGTTTGATATTCTGCCATTTGTTCATGTTGTATTTGCGTGATAAATTTTTTTTTTTCAAAGCGGGTATTTGTTTATTACTACTACTAGTACTAGTATTGTTATTTTGGTACTAGGGATTGAACCCAGGGGATTGACTTTAATTCTTTCAGATAAATATCAATACCCAGGTCCTTCTACTGAGCCACATTCCCGGTCTTTTTTATTTTATTTTGAGACAGTCTCACTAAGTTGATTAGGACTGAAGCTAAGTTTCTAAGGCTAGCTTTGAACTTGTAATCTTTTTGCCTCAGCCTTTCAAAGTCATTGGTATAACAGGTATGCACTACTATACCTGGATTTTTTTTAATTCACAAAAAGTGTACATATATTTTAATTGTTTTTTATTAATGAATAACTGATAAACTCAGTGTGAGAGAAACACACTTAGTAATATTCAACAAATGTTTATTGAATGCCTACTGGGCTAAAGCAATATCAGTGAGATTAAAATTCTCAAGTTTTCCTTTGGATTGTCTTATGCTTAACATTAATGAATTCTGGGACTATTTCGTTTTTTTTCACATTGTTAAAAATAAGTACTTTAATTCACTTCATTCTAGATTGTTCTTTTGCAAAACAAAAGAATCCCAAACAATCAAAAAACCCACAAAGTCATTTCTTTTAAATGATATTGGGTTTTTTTTTTTTTTTTTTAAATACCATATGATGACAGTGTTAAAACAGTCTCTGGAATTTAGTGAAGTGGTTGATGATGTGTGAATATGTGATCAGACATATATGTTAGGAAAATATGTATTGCAAATAAAGTATTATATTTTAAGATTTTAACTGATAAAATATCCAAGAGTTTGACTACAGAATTTGTTGGATTTTAAGTGATTAAGAATAATTAGCTTTATTGTATTCTAAACTGAAGCTAGGTATATTCTTATGTATTTTATGTACTTTTATGTATTTTAACTAGTATGTTCTTGATGGAGATTTGAGTTAATGGGAATGAAGCATGTGACTAAATGCACTCTAATAATATCTAGAAGTCATGCATACTATTTCTATATATTATTAAGATTTTTGAAAATGACTGTAATATAAATATTGGTTTTATATGCCTTTTCTTTTGCCAGATGATGGACCTAGTCAAGACTCTGTTACTGAGACTGCCATGACACTGCCAAGTGAATCCAGAGTTAATATGCATGCTATCGTCGCATTAAAAATATTAGACTATAGGTATGTAATTCATTTTTTCCCTTTTTCTAATTTTTTTAAATTCATGCATTATAACTGTATATAACAGAGGGATTCCTTGTTGCATATTCATACATGCACATAATATATCAGAATTATTTGGCCAGTGTCGCTCCCCAACACTTCTCCCTTCCTCCCTCCCTCCCCACCTCCTTTCCTTTACTGATCTCCCTTTGATTTTCATGAAATTCCCACCCTCTCTTTCTTTTCCTTTGTCCTCTCTAGCTTCTACATACAAGAGAAAACATGACCCTTGACCAGCTGAGTTTGGCTTATTTCACTTAACATAATGTTCTCTAGTTCCATATATTTTCCTACAAATGACATAACTTTATTTTTCTTTATGGCTGAAAAAAATTCCATTGTGTAAATAAACCACATTTTCTTTATCCATTCATTCATTGATGGATACCTAGGCTTTTTCCATAATTTGGCTATTACGAATTGTGCTGTTATAAACATGGGCATTCATGTGTCACTATAGTACTTTAATTCTTTTAAGATAAATATCAAGGAGTGGTATAGCTGAATCTTATGATGCTTCCATGCCTAGTCTTTTAAGGAGCTTCCATACTGATTTCCATAGTAGTTGCATTAATTTACAATGCCACCAACAGTGTAGAAATGTCCCTTTTTCTTCACATTCTGTCTAGTATTTATTTGTATTCTTTTTAAAAAATATTTTTTTAGTTGTATATGGACACAATATCTTTTTATTTTTATGTGGTGCCTCCCAGTGCAAGGCAAGTTCACTACCACTGAGCTGCAGCCCCAGCCCCTATTATTTGTATTCTTGATGACTACCATTCTGGCTGTTGTGAGATGAAATCTCACTATAGTTTTGATTTGCATTTCCCTAATTGCTAATGACGTTAGACATTTTTTCCATCTCTCTGTTGGCCATTTTTATGCGTATTTAATTATTTGCGTATTTAATTATTTAATAATTTGCCTATTTATTAATTGGGTTATTTGATTTTGGTGTTAAGTGTTTTGAGTTCTCTATATATTCTAGATATTAATTCTTTGTCAGAAGAATAGCTAACAGGTGCGGTGGTACACACCTGTAATCCCAGTGGCTGGGGAGGCTGAAGTAGGAGGATTGTAAGTTCAAAGCCAGCCTCAACAAATTCGAGGCACTAAGCAGCTCAGTAAGACCCTGTCTCTAAATACAAAGTAGGGGAGGGGATGTGGCTCAGTGGTCAAGTGCCCCCGAGTTCAATCCCTACTACCGAAACAACAACAACAACAACAGAAGTAGTAGCAAAGATTTTCTCCTATTCTGTAAGTTCCCTCTTCATATTCCTAATATTTTTCTTTGTTGTTCAGAAGCTTTTTAATTTGGTGACATCACATTTATTAACTCTTGGCATTATTTCCTGAGCTTTAGAGGTCCTGTTAAGAAAGTTGTTACTTGTGCCTATGTGCTGTAGTGTTGACCCTACATTTTCTTTTAGGAGTTGCATAGTTTCTGGTGTAATTCCTAGCTCTTTGATTCATTTTGAGTTTATCTTTGTGCAGGATGAGAAATAAGGGTATAGTTTCATTCTTCTACGTGTGAAAAACCAGTTTTCCCAGCATCATTTGTTAAAAAGGCTGTCTTTTCTCCAATATATCTTTTTGGCACCTTTGTCAAGGATCAGATGTTTGCTGACATGTGGATTTGTCTCTGTGTATTCTATTCTGTATCATTGGTCTGTGTGTCTTGTTTTTATGCCAGTTCCATGCAGTTTTTATTATTATGACTCTCTAATATAATTTGAAGTCAGATGTTGTGATGCTTATAGCATTGATTTTTTTGGCTTAAAATTGCTTTGGTTGGTGTTTTATTCTTCCAAATGAATTTTAGGACTTTTTTCTAGTTTTGTGAAGAAAGTCATTGATATTTCGATGGGGACTGCATTGAATCTATATACATCTTTTGGTAATATGTACATTTTAAGAACATTAATTCTGCCAGTCATGAATATGGGAGGTCTTTCCATCTTCTGGGGTCTTCAATTTCTTTCTTCAGTGTTCTGTAGTTTCCATTGTGGAGCTCTTTTGCCTTCTTGGTTAGATTTATTTCTAGATGTTTTCTTTCTTTATTTATTATTTTGATGCTATTATGAGTGAATTGTTTTTCTGATTTCTTTCTCGGCAGATTCATTGTTGGTATTATAGGAAAGCTATTGATTTTGGTATGTTTACTTTGTAATATGCTACTTTACCAAATTTGTTTATTAGCTCTAGCAGTCATTTGGTGGAGATTTTGGTTTAATTCATTTTTAAAAGACATTACAAAACACACAGAAAACTTTCAAGACAGAATCTTCAGAAAAGGAACAATTGGTGAATAAAAATTGATCAGAGTACCCAGAATAATTTTGCAACTGCAAAAAGAGTGATGAAATAAATGCACATTGAAAGTATAATGAACTTAACTGCCCATCCTTTAAGTGATTTGTGTTTATTATACTTAAGCTATATTAATAATATTTTAATATTGAATATAAAATAATTAAGATATAATTATAAAAATAATATTAAATGTAAAATGATATAAAAGAGACTTATTATTGGTAATAAAGTTCCTTGAATCAGTAATCAATATCAGAAAGTATTGATCCAGAGGGTATTGGAGGGTAAATCTGTGTTAGTTAAATAAGAGATATTTATCATTTAGTTAATGAAGAACCTGAAAAACAGGCAAAGCTTGAGAGATTAATTTAACCAAATATTAGTTAATAACATGACATAGTTACAAGATGCTCCTATAGCAGATATATTAAAACTGAAGCCATTACAATGTTAGTATATAAATTGAGATTAAAAACCTAAAAATTTAATGGAAGTATATTAATTTAGGGAAAGATGATACCTTATAAAAATAAGAAATACAGTCAAGAGTTTCTGGTGATTGGTTCAGGTATGGGTACTGCAAGGAAAACAAAAGAATACAGACTCAAGTCAGATAGGTCACTAGATTTATTCAAGAATCAACACAACTGGGCTGGGCACAGTGGCTCATGCAGGTAATCCCAGCGGCTCGAGGGGCTGAGGCAGGAGGATTGCCAAGTTCAAAGCCAGCTTCAGCGAAAGTGAGGCTCCAATCAACTCAGTGAGACCCTGTCTCTAAATAAAAAATACAAAATAGGGCTGGGGATGTGACTCAGTGGTTGAGTGCCTCTTACTTAATTCCCAGTACAATTAAAAAAAAAAAAAAAGAATACAACCATCATCAGCGTCTGGCCACTTATCCTTAATGTGTTAATAAAAGCATTATTCTCAGGATTCAGGATACAGTCTCCATTTCCCATTGTTTTTCATTCACTTGTTCTCATGTCTTATTTGCCACTCTTTGATGTATGTAGAAATTAACTGCTCTAAGCCAAGTTTCTTTTGTCATACTAACATAGGCAGTATTCCTCTATATCTACATTTGTATTCCTTTTATATAGCATTGTACCTTAGCATATCTTCCACATAATGTAATCTCTTCAGTACATGTTCTTGAAATCTATTAAGTACCAAATTCTATGTTGTGTACTTTATGATTTATAAGGTAGTATTTAGAATAAGTAGGATAACCTTTTCTACTTTTTAAGGGCATAGATACTACAAAAGCATGAAAAAACAGGTATGTCTTAGGTTGCTTGGATTATAACTCTTTATTGTAACTTGTTTTTCTCAGTACTTTAATTTAAATCAAGTATTCTTTTTAAAATATAAAATAATGGGGGGCTGGAGTTGTGGCTCAATGGTAGAGCACTTGCCTGGCATGTGTGAGGCCCTGGGTTTGATCCTCAGCACTGCAAATAAGTAAATAAATAAATAAATAAAGTGAAAGATCCACTGACAACTAAAAAATATCCAAGCAAGTATAAATGCATTCAACTAAATTCTAAAAATAGTGTGACTCTTTCAACTTTGATTGGCATAAATCATTTATCTATGATTCGAGCATTTATAATTAAAAAGATGAAAATGCTATATCTGTACAACAGAAAATGGAGCACTAAAGCAGAAGTGGGAGGCATAATAACTGGAATTTTGTTTGTCATTTTTCCTATCTGTAATATGATGGCTTTCTTACTCAGTTCCATGTAATACATTCTCTTGTCCTTATAGTCCTTATAGTCAGTCATTCATTTGTCATTCCATGTAAGTTTCCTTGAAGTGAATGACATTGTGTTAAACATTAATAGTGGTTAAAAAAATAATAATAACTAGCTCGTCAGATTCTGATTTTAAAGTACTAAGCTTCAGGGAAGGTAAATTGCAAACTCATTATTGGTAGAATCGGGAATAGTTTGTCTCAGTCCAGTATTCTATCTACCTAGTCACATACCAGGAGAGAGAAATTTGTCTAGGTGATTGACCTGAAACTAATTTAGTATAATGTTGAACTTTTAAAAGTGATATTTTGTAGTACCCAAAGAAAGTTGGCAGATAACCCCCTCATACAAGTTTTTTAAGAAAAGGGGCAACAACTAACTTTTAAAATTATGGATTTCTTAGTCAGAGGTAAACATGTCCATTTGCTATATGATTTCTAGTTTTCCTAGACTCTGAAAGTATTTCTTTGTTTTTGTTCATATTTTAGTATGCGAGTGTACAGAAAGTGTGGCACAATGTGTTGTAACACAGTTCACTGTCTCAATTCTAAACAGTGAGCTGGTAAATTTTTTTGCCATTCTTTACAAAACTTCATAATCACTACCTTGGAAATTTTTTTTGCCAGGGGCGGGGGGTACCAGAGATTGAACTCAGGGGATCTCGACCACTGAGTCATATCCCCAGCCTTATTTTTTGTATTTTATTTAGAGACAGGGTCTCACTGAGTTGCTTTAATGCCACTGTTGCTGAGGCTGGCTTTGAACTTGCAGTCCTCCTGCCTAAGCCTCCTGAGCCACTAGGGTTATAGGTGTGTGCCACCACACCCAGCTTACCTTGGAAATTTTTATAAAATATTTGAAAACCTTTAAAAATGAAGAATAACAATTATATATTTCTGACTTGCTAAGAATATTTCATTTTTATACCATTTTTCATTTAGTGATAAGCAAGCGCCTTTCATTCCTGATGAAGTGTTTGATGCAGTAAAAAACAACATCATCACTTCTGTTAACTTCAGTAAGAATCAACTATGTGAAATTCCAAAAAGGTAAGAACTATTCATGATGCAGTTTCTATTAAGTCATGACTCATTAGAGGAAAATATTATACTAATATTAGAGGAAAATAGCAAAATGTTTATGATACTTTTAGTTGTTCTGGGAGGTAAAGAGGATTTTTAAAACTTTGTTTCTCTTTCCTTTACATTGTAAACTTGGAAAGTAGGTGTGAAAGTTATTAATTTTCCTATATAATGAAATATTAAAGGAAAATTGTTAAGAGACGACAGAATGCCAGGTTTGTGTGGATTTATAAAAATTTCATTTTGGACCTTAATGAATTGCCAAGCCACTGAAATTTCCTAGTGATTAAAAAAAAGCAAAATTGAACTCTGTTAATAATTTATTCTCTGAAAGAGTTCTTCACTTACAATTATTAGAACTCAGTTGCCTTATGGTTTGTACTATTTAGCCTTATAGTTTGTACTAAATATTTAGTACATCTTGGGATATGAAAGGAAATTAGTATATTGTTGAATTTTTTAAAATGTTTGTTACCTAGCAGGAAACAATATACTCAGAAAAAATTGACAAATAATCTAGTGAGACTGAATATAGTAATAAGGAACTTGAGCAACAGAGTCATTGTTTATTCTGTATCCTAGATCTTCTAAGTGTGGTTTTGATCAAGTCACATAGCTACTCTTAGTTTTCTCACCTATGAAGTGGGAATAATAATAATATTTGTTTATAAAAATTAAATTAAAGAAAAAAATCCAGATATCATGTTTAACCTGGCCTTGTAAGCACTTACATATTAAAAGGGGGAAAAAATGATGAGGACAATATATTGAGAAAATAGAATGGCTTTTGTCCGACTGTCCCCAAATTTTTTCATGTTTAAAATTTTTAAAAAGGAAGTCAAAGCATAAAATTGATTCTGTTTACAATACATAGTTCAAGAAATACAGGTCCTCAAGGGTGACAACTTTAAGAACATTTATTGCAAAGGGAGATCTGGCCCATCTTCTGGTTTTTCCTTGTTTAAAGGCCTGAGAGGATATTTGATAGGATAGTTGAACATTTAGATTTGTTTGCAGATATAATAAGTTTGTTTTGGGGGGACTAGGATCAAACAAGTAAATTGGGAAGAAAGATAAATTTAAGACATTAACTTATTACTTTCTCATTTTATTCCACAAATTTGGTTCTTGTGCAAAACATGTTATTGTGTTCCCACAGCTATTGTGCCACTTTTTTAGCAACTTAGAAAGTCAAAGAAGAAAGATAATAAAAACATACTTTGTTTTAGAGAATTTCTAAACCAATTCCTCTCTTTCTTACATTTTTAATTTATAATTCATACATTTTACCATATTTTCTGACTATAAAAACAAATTATATTCATAAGATTTTTGGACCAAATGAAGGGACATATCAGTTATAGTCCTATCACTGATACGTTCTGTTGACTTAAAGATACTTTATTTCATGCAGTTCCCATCTGTAATTATACATGCATATTTGTTTACCTATGTTGTAAACAACCCTTTAAAAATCTAATTTACCTATATAGCATATGGTTAATTACAGCAATAAATCATTTTTTCTTTAGGCCAAATTTCCAGAAAAAATACCAAGTCAAAGAATCTGACCTATAATGTATATATCTAATAACTTTTTTGAAAATGTTTTGTCAGTTATACATCAAAACTCTTATATTCCATCATCTGCACAGCATTTCACATTTATTCTTCTTCTTTGCTAATGTGATAGACTAAAAATGATTTCTTACAGTTTAATTTTTGTTTCTTAGCAATCATGGTGTAATTAAAACTATTAAGCTTGCTTATACTTACTTAGAAATGCTTAATATTTCCTCTTTAAGTCTTTAACCTAAGCTGCTTAGTGGTGTTACTTGCCAAACCTACAAATTCATTTCATTTTCCTATAATCGTCATTAAATTAATGACAATTTAAATAATGGATACTATAAAAAAGTTAATATCATGATATTTTAAAAATATTTTGAGATAGACTGAGAAAATAGCCCAGTAGTAGAGAAGTCACTCAGCATGTATGAGACCTTGAATTTAACTCCAAGTACCTCAAAAAATAAAATATATATGTTCAACAATTTATTTCATGGATTCAGGTCATTAACAGAATAAGTATAAAAATTTCCTAGACCTGCTTTTTCCCATTTGTACCACACTTGTTTTAAATGCTGAAGTGAGTATATTTTAAAATTAAACTTCAACATAGACTTAGGATCAAATAGAAATTCTTAGACAAAGGATAGTAATAGCTATCTAATTTTTTAAATTTTTATTAGCTACATAACTTAAACTAATTTTTTGTGAAAAAATAAAATATAGAAAGTCATAATTAGAAATAATATAGGATTTTTTTCTGTTATGTTCTGCTTTGTTTTGAAGTCCTAAGAGTGAATTCAATGCTAACATTTTTTAACAACTATTTTTGTTCCAGGATTATAGAACTGAAGGAAATGGTTTCTGATGTCAATCTCAGTTTTAATAAGTTTTCCTTTATATCCTTGGAGTTATGTATGCTTCAGAAATTGACATTTTTAGATCTAAGGTATTTATTGCTATTGTTGTTTGACTTTTTCAAAATTATAACTTGTCTCTAAGTTTTGCCTAACTTGCCTTTTATGTCATGTTTTCATAGGTAAGTATGGAAACTGGTCTTTACTAGCAATACTCTAATGGAAATCTAAAATTAAGTATTAAAGAAACATTTTAATCAGTTAGCATTCGTAAGCACTTTATAAGTTGTGATAAAACAAAATTATTTAAAATGTTAAAAATAATAGCACATTCTTTAGACTCCTACCTAAGCAAAATTACAAATAACACAAAATATTTGTAATATGGAAAATATTTCCTTTGTATTGTTCATTTCCTGCAAGTAGATAGCATAAAGTTGGCACAACCCTGTGCTGGCACAGCAGTTTGCTTCTCTTTAAGGAAACTACTTGGTTTCACAATAGTTTGTTAAATAAAGTTTAAAAAAAAGAAAATACTTGACAACAAAAAGAAACTGCTTTAGGCTTTATGGAAGTAATAGGACATTTAAGTGTGTCCAACTTGAAGTGATGGAGATCAAAAGTATGACAGTTCTTTAAGGATACCATTAGATGTCTCAATAGTTAGTTATTTGCTTAGAATCTAATTTTTTTTTTTTTGGTAATCTATATCTTTTTGCTTAGACTTTTCCATGCCTTTATATTATTTCTAGATGTGCTATCATTTATTTAAAGACTAACTATTCCTGCTTTGCTCAGTTTTCAAATAACAACAAGTTATATATCTTTTTTAGGCTTTGTTCTTGTACAGATGTATTTTTACTTATGTAATTCAAGTAAATGTACTAACATTCTGTTCCAATTAGATGTGGAACTGCTTCTATATGGGGATAGCAATTATAATAGGAAAACTATAAAAATCATATTTTAGTTCAGTAATAATGCAGCTGAGGAAATGAATCCATCTCTTCATTGCTGCTATCTATTTTTGGCTCAATCTTCTGTTTGTATAAATGGGCCTGTCTGTATCTGTACCTGGAATTTCTAATTAAGTGACCAAATTTGACTTTCATGTCTGATAGCAATAACTATAACATTGTCTAGGAAAAGGATAGTAATCAGCGATGGGTTATTCAACACAACTTAATATAGAATATAGTTGGAGAAAAATATAAAGAAAAAAAGGACATAGGTTGTACCACAGAAAGTAAGATTCTTATTACACATTTGGCTTGACTTTTTATTAGTTTCTTTTAGTTATATATAATATTAGGGGTTCATTTTAACATAATTATACATTTATGGAATATAAAGTCTTGACTATTAAACCTAAAGAAGTAGGTTAGAGAAAATTACTTGGTTTTAATAGGCACCTAGTTGGGAAATATTCTCTATCGAATGTTTTCTATTAGTAGTTATTCTGTCTCTGCCTTCTTGTTAATCTTCTAGCATTGTTCTCAGATCCTTCCATAATGAATAAGATTCTGTTTATTGCCATGTTTCATTACAACACCTAAAAATCAAAATATTCACTGTACAAATTGAAATTTTATACTTAGAATAGAAATGAACTTAATACCTCGAGTAGAAAGATCCAGGTTTCCAAACCTATAAAATCTCTTTAACATGTTTTATTTTTTCTTGTAATGTTTCAGTTCTTCTTGGAGTAAAATGTCATGTCTGTTTACAAGATATACATATTAACACTGAGAGAATATTTGTTTTATGCGGAATTATAAACATGACTAGACCATGACAAGTATTGCTGAACTCAATTTGATAGAGTTGAGAGATTAGTTTACAATGTTTATCTTGTTGAGTATTATTAAAAAGTTGTTTTCATTATCATTAGGTTGCATATTGGTATTATTTAGATTGGATACACTAACCAAATGCTTGAACCAGTTGACTCAGAATTCTCAGAATTCAGCATTAATGAGATCAGATTAGGACTGACAAACTGATATGTGTACTCTTTTCTGCTCAAAATTTTAATTATAAATTACTCATAAAAATTTTTATTTTAATCTATTTTGATTTCTAATTTAGGAACAATTTTTTAACTTCTTTGCCTGAAGAAATGAAATTGTTGATAAGACTACAAACGATCAATCTTTCCTTTAATAGGTAAGAGAACAGATAATTCTAACAGCCATTCAATGGAAAATATATTGATCTTTCTTACTAGAGAAAACAATTTAAAAATGAAATAACAAAAAGAACCCATATTTTTACTTTATTTCAATATCCAGGTTTTATTTCATTTTGTTTTATTTAGAATTGAGAGCAATGTTGCTTTCTTAGAATTCTCACAATTGATGTCTAGCAGATTTTTTGTTCCATTTTACAATTTGTAGAAACCTGTAGCTTAGTAGAAAGACAAATATACAAATAAATAATTGTAATAAATAATTTATGGTGAATAATCGTAATTGCTATAATGGAAACACAGTGCATAGGAAAAGGTCCACTGAGATTCACTGAAGGTAGAAGAGGTAGCATTGAAACCGAGGCTTAAATAGACATTTGCCAGGCACTTGGGGAGAAGATCCTAGTTAGAGCAAATAGCATGTAGTAGGCCCAAACATATATAAACATGGTATGTTTGAGAAACTTCAAAAAATTCAATATGCCTTGCTCTGTAAATTGAGGAGCTAGTGGTATAGCACAGACAGACAAGGTTGGGCATTTGAACAATAACTAGTCCCGTAAGAGCTTTTTAAGCTAAGTGAAACAGATTTTTTTTTCTACAAATACTATCATGATTCTGCAGATAATTCGGAATAACTAATATTTATTAGGAGCAATTTATCTGCTGGTGCTGTGCTAAATACATGAATTAACCCTCTGTACAAAAATCAAGTTATAAAGCTGGGATTTTAGTCTGGGTGGTTTTGCTCCAAAAGTGGGGCTGTTAGCACCTGTGGCATATTGTTTAATATGATAAAAATTGATTCTAACCGCAATTTAATAAAACTACTAAAAGATTTATTGTAACCCAGATAATCTAAGGTTTTCAAATATATTTATTTCATCCTTAGAACAAACTTACATATTTTAGTACTATTATTTTTCCTTATGTATAGATGAAGAAGGTAATGCATAGTAATGTTAAAAGATATACTTATTTTAATTTTTATTCTTTCACTATTTGTGTTTTGTCATATATAGTGTATACCATTATTGTCATTATTTAAAAATATATGCACAGCTCAGATCTCACCTAATTTTTACTTCTAGATTGAGCTGTATCTGTTGAGCTGTCTCTTGAGCTTTCAGTTGAATTGTAGTCTTGGTTATTGACTCTTAGTGACAGTGGGACTCCAGAGTTTTCTTGAGTTTCCCCATCACTATCACTTCTTTTGTACCCAAACAACGAAGGAAGGAAGGAAGGACAGTATGGTGAAATGAAAAAAGCACAGATAAAAAGTTCTCTATCAGCCCTTCCTTTTCTTAGCTAGTTCAGGTTACAGTTTACCTCATACTGAAACTGGGACTGCCTGTATCCCTAAAGGGGACCTCCATGATTTTGTTAATTGTGAGTAATTACTCTGAGAACTATTAGCCTTTCTGTTTTTGTGGCATTCTCAGGATTGGCATAGATAAGGATGTCAGTATCTATGCTAATTTGTCATCTTTTTTAAGAATCTGTAATGTATTCATTGTGGAAGCTTCAGTCAAAGCAAAATATAAATCTCAAATTTTTCATAATATATTGGCAGCAACTCATAAGTTAATATGAACTAAGGACAAATACCTGCATGAATATATTAAATAGAAAATCTGAGGAAGATTTCCTTTTCCCCTGAATGAACAGAAAGACATAAAAGAATTTATTCTGAAGTTTTGTTTGATTTTATACAATCAATATAGTCTGTCCAATTAATATGTATTTCAAGGTTTCCGGAGTTAGTCCATTTTCTTTATTTTCTGGAAAGTTTTAATTTAGGACACAACCAAATATATTGTAAAATACACTAATGGAAATATTATTTCCTGGTATAAAACTTAAGATCATCTATTTTAAGGATTTTGGCCTCTGATTCTAGTATATTTAGGTGTTCTGTTCATGTTTATTAATAGATTCAAAATGCTACCTGAAGTTCTCTATCATATCTCAACGCTTGAAACAATTCTGATTAGTAACAATCAGGTTGGATCTTTGGATGCTCTGAAAATGAAGATGATGGAAAATCTTAGCACATTGGACCTTCAGAATAATGACCTTCTACAAATTCCACCAGAGCTTGGTAATTGTGTGAACTTAAGGTACACTGTTCTATTGAATTTTTCCATTTATTCAATTTATTTGTTGAAGTGATTTGTTGTTGTTCAGATAATGTTTTAGGAAGTGAAGTAACAATGTCCTGTTAAAAATAATAATTAACAAGACTCAGAATCCCAATTCTGTTTTTGAAATTTATCAAATATTTTTCTTGTTTTTATATGTATGTTTTCTTATATATGTATAAACATGCTATTTGTATCTAGTAGTATTTTTCTCATCTATTTCTTTGGGAGTTTTTTTTTGAGGGGGAGGGTACCAGAAATTAAACCTGGGGTGCCTAACGTCTGCCACATCCCTTTGTATATTTTATTTTGAGACAGGGTCTGGCTAAGTTGCTTAGAGCCTTGCTAAGTTGCAGAGGCTAACTTTGAACTCAGGATCCTCTAGCCTCAAAATTCTGAGATGATGGGATTACAGGCATGCACCACCATGCCAGTTCTCATCTATTGAATACTATCCATATTCTCCAAGCAGAATTACTCTCTCTATTCTAATTTATCTTTCTTTAGGAAAGAGATATTCCCGAACTTAGAACATATCGCGGGTTACATGTATATAAAAGGAATTTGAGATGTTAATAAAAAGCCAATTAATTAAGCAGAATATGTTAGAAATATTTTAATTAGTAAAAACTGCATGGTAATTGGTATATTTCACTTCACTGGGGCAGCACTGGCGTCTGCTCTGGTTCCTCATAGTAGTAAGTTATAGGAGATGAGTATAGTTGATTCTCATTATTTGCTGTAGTCGTGTTCTATAAAGTTACTATGAACTGAATTAGTGAATATTGAACTATTGTTTCTAGGGGAAATACAGTGTAAGACTTGCAAAAGTCTGGTCATAATATTTTCATACATCCATCAGTACATAACCTTGGTTTGTGTGTGTTTCAGTGTATTGATTCATTAGCTTTGAATTCATGGCCCACAGCATTATAAATTATGCCTGACTATAGCTTACTCCACAATTGTGTTTTCTCCGAAGGCACATTTGTGCTTAAAGAAAATCAGATAGCACTTCAGCACTATACTTGGGAGCCATTTTTAACAGTGGAATCACCAACAAAAAAGTACAAAAATTTGAAAAATGTGGCACCAAATGGACCACAGAAATGACATTTGTTTACAGTGTAAGAGCTGAAACAAGAAGTGTAAGAGCTGAAACTTCACCTTGTATGACTTCAATGGGGTCATACCAGTCTGGTGACTCAAATTTTCTCCTGCTCCATGAATAATCTTGGAAGTGTCAGACATATTGATTTGGGGGTTAAAAACAAATTTTAATGAGTAGGCAGATTGGCAAATATGAAATCTGTGAGTAATGAGGTTCAACTATAATCAACTCCTTTTTCTATAAATTCAAATATATCTTTTAAAAAAACAAATATTTTGAGATATAATTTAGATAAACTGTCTTGACTTTTATTTACATGAATTCTAAAGAATTACAAATTACGTCTCTTCTAATTAAGGATATTTTATTAATTATGTAAAGAAACGGAAGAACAAGCCCTTTAATCTATATTGAGCCTTATTTCCACACATAAATGTATGCCTGCTCAAGGGTGGGAGAGGTCAGATATATGTCAATGTTTTACAGGGCGAGGAGGACATAATACATTGATTACATTATAGTCCTTGGCAAGGGTATTTGACAGTTTGCTCATCCTAATACTTGTCTAAATCTAATTCAGTCTCAAGTCTCTCTTGCCTCTGTAAATTTGTGTTTCCTTATCTGTTAAATGAATGTTCATATCCTAAAAATATTGATCTTATATACAAGGAATGTATATTATCTTTTACATAATAGTTGTTCAACTTGTATTGTTTGGGTTATTATTTTAGTTGTAATTCCAACTATTTAAATGTTCAGTTTTGAAAAGGGACAAATATGAAAAATACACATTTTATTTATAGAATTGCAAATAAAAATTTATTTCCATTAAAACATCTCAATAATAGAAAATGTTGAAATTCTCAATCTCTCTTTTTTAGAACTTTACTACTAGATGGAAATCCATTCCGTGTTCCTCGAGCCACTATATTAATGAAAGGAACAGCTGCTATATTGGAGTATTTGAGGGACCGGATTCCTACTTAAATGATCCCAGTCATCATGTTAAATCTTAGAAGAATATTACATTTTGTTTTAGTATCATCCTAAAGGTGATTGCTATAACTGATCTTCTAGTTTCTCAGTTACCACCTAGCCATTGGTATAATTGGCCTGGGCTATTATCACTGCCAATAAATATTTTCCATTGATAACTATTCAACATTTTTTCTAAAGTGTTGTATACATTTATAACGATATTAACCACATACACTTATGGAGTGTTCATACATTTTGTCTGAATGTTTTCCACAGGATTTATCCTACATTTATCCCACATTCATTCCCGTAAAATTTGTAAGCACTTTCTTTGAAAGTGAATTTTTATGTAAGATGATTTAATATTTTTATAATAACAAAGCATTTTTGTAGAATTGGGTTTCTTTTTTCCTCATTTCTTTTTGTAATCCATACAATATAACCAGTTGACTTGAATATGAGTATTTAATTTCTACTTTTTTATTAGATGTAAAACCAAAATGAAATTTATTTAATACTTTTTTGTGAGTTAAAAAAAAGACTTCATTATCTTTTCCTCCTATTTTATGAAATCATTTTATCAGATTTGTTAATTTCTCAAAAATAACACTCAAGATATGATTATTGGAGAAAATAATGAAAGTGTATTATAACTACTTTCACAATTTTGACTTTAAAATTTGGCATTTTTAAAAGTGATGCCTTAGTATTGTTTTCGTATGATAATCTAGTACTTTTAGATTTAGGAGAATTAAAGATTGGATCTGTATATTTTCCCCCTGGGGAGTGTAAGCATTTAATCACCTTTTGTCCCTTAAGGGGGTAAAAAAATGAAGATTTTATTAATTCTATTGGTAGCAGCAACAGAAAACAACATATACCATATAGAAATCTTAAAGCTAATGTGGTATAGTAACACATGCCTGTAATCTCAGCTATGCAGGAGTCTGAGACAAGAGGATCACCAGTTCAAGGCCAGCCTCAGCAACGTAGTGAGACCCTGTCTCCAAAATGTAATAAAGGGCGCTGAGGATGTAGCTCAGTGCTTGTCTAGCATGTGTGAGGTCCTGGGATCAAGCCACAGTACCAGACATACACAAAAAGAAAGAAGGGCAGGAGGGAAGAAAAAAGGAATGAACTTTGTTTTAAACACTTATTTAGCAGGTATTTGAATACTTAATATACTTGGGTATGTTTTAATCTGACTTGTGCATCTTTTTATTTTCAGCACTTTAATTTTAAAATTTACTTTGTCTTGATAAGATTAAATTTACAGTCACAGTCATTTTCTAAAAGGGAATTTGATATAGATAAACTCAATTTAATAAAAAATTAAAAATAAACATTTTTGTTTACACCAAAATTATCAGAATTAAGTTGATCAGTCATTGTGACACCATATAATTCTATTAAGTATCCAATTCAATAGCATGTTTATCTATAGATATGTAGATAGGTAACTTTTAGATGATTGAGGCATGCTTACATAATGAAAAATCATTGCTAATAAAGATAAATACATGTTCATAATAAAAATTACATTTTTCAAATATTGATTACAGTGTTTGTTTTTGTTTCTTTTAAAACATGCCCTTTTCATGTCACAACTCTGTCGCTAAGAAGTCTGCTTTGATAGTAAACAAAAGACACTTTACAATAAGGTGACATTTTATTATTTATACAATAAAGAGACTTTTATGTTATTCAAAACACTTTTTTTAAATACTGAAAAAGTTGAGTACACCAAAGCCGAAAAATGGCTCTGCTATACACTGCACAGCATTATTTTAGTCCCTGTATTTTATATCTGTACAGAAAGCATCTTCAAAATGCATTCTAATCACATTGTACACCTTTACCAATTAGTGTCAATACATAAAGTAAAACTGGAGAATACAGCTTGCATTTGCAAATTAACCTACAAAGTCATTTCACTGATTCAGTAAATTTAAAATATAGATTCATAGGACTTCTTTGCACGGAAAATGAAGCGGTTTTCAAGGTTGTTATGGTCTCATACTGCAAAAAAAAACCATTAAGTACATTCACAATCTATGTTAATAAAGTAGTAAATATGTTCTCATTCAGTTTTATTTACATCAATGTTGTCCAACTAAAAAGTACTGTTAATCATGATACAATAGTCCTTTTAACACATACAAAAATGACAATTTTTATATATAATTTTAAGCTCAAAATCACAATTATCTCAAAATATTAATTACAATACAGCCATTTCAATTAAACATGTCATGATTTGATTTTTTTTATAAAATGTTAAAACTTTCTTTATTAAAGTAAGCAATTTGTTTGGAGTTGACTAGCATATACCCAAGTAGAAAATCTTAAATGTTAAGAGGTGTTTCCTGCCCCCTCCCACCCGAATTTGTATACAGCCACCTAGGCTAGCAAAGAGACAGAAAAGGCCCCAATTTATAAAGATTAAGCCTCTTTTGCTATACTGCTGTGGCCTGTTGGTTCTTCCATAAAAGCTTTACAAGGGGAGTATCAGTAAATGATGCAGTGAAATGCATGCATTAATATACAGTATGTCTATGTAAAATGTCAGCGTTTACTAATGCACATTAAAATGTTCACAAAGACTGCAAAAGAAGTCATAAGAAGCACTTTATCTACTAATTGCATATTGTAAACTTGAAAACTACTTGTTAACATAATGGAATTTCTTTGAAATCAGATCCCAATTCAAGTTCTTTCTCTGACTAAAGGAACTCTGGTTACTTGGCCTTAAGATGTCACTGTTGTGCTGCACATATGGTAGTGAAGTCAGATATTATAAAAGAATATGACTCTAGAGACTGTCTTCATTTTACTAAAATAATGACTCAAAGTTGAATCACTGCCTAGGAATTTTTCTTAAACTTACAAGAGAGTGAAATATTTCACTAACTGATTAATATGACCTCAAATGAAAAATTTGTGTTTGTATTTGGCACATATGAAAATATTAATTTATATAACTGAAATTAGAACTTTATAGAATAATAAAAGCATTATGCCCCAAAATAACAGAGGTCAAAAGAAATTAATTATAGTTCAAAAAATAAAGAATTTTATACTTAACTTCAAAACAATATATAGAGTACCTTTTTTACTTATTAACGAATCATTTGAAAACTTACCACTGTTATCCTTCAGAATCACTTCTGTTAATTTAATATTTCTTCTCTGAATAGAATGAGACCATGGTTCATATTATGATTTACATATATCCAGTTCGGTGAGGGGTGCCCTTGGGTGGTGGTAAAATGGAAAAAATAACACTATATACGCAATAATCTACAGTAATCTTGCAGTAAACTTTTACAAGATCATTTGTGATAATCTTTGAGCAGAATTCTGTAGATTTACCTCTGATTTTCTATATTGAACTTGGGGAAAAAATTCCTCCTCCTCATGTAGACAATGTTACCATCCCTAAGCTTCCTTTAGTCCCTTCTATACAATGTATACAAAGAGAAACTTTATTGGTTCCTCAATCAAAATATATGAGGTTGATCTCTCAATTATCTTTCTCTTCATTCCAAACAAAATAATAAGGCTTTGCATTTTACAGGAGGAAAACTGTTAAAGAGAAATGCCTAATCATCATCGAGCAGAAGTATTAAAGATTTATTGCATTCCATTGACACTAGGTGTCATCAAAGCTAAAACTAAATTCTTACGAGCAAAACAACAGAAAACATTGTTTCTGACCTGAATCAGATGCCTTTCCCACATTCAAGACCAGTAAGAGTCTTCTTGGGTGGAAAGACCAGTATTGAAAATAACTTATTTCAATAGTACATTCTGAAAATAAATTAACTTTTCTAGCAAGTATGGGAACTGCTTTATATTCTTTCTGCCTGAGAGTTTCATCTTGGATTTCCTGACTAAATGAGAGATTCTTCAGTAGAGAGCTAGGACAGTGCAAGAGGGATAGAGAGATACAGGAAATACAATGTGATTTTTTTTGTCCATTTGTCAAATGCTTTCCTTAATCCGGCTCTCTTAAAGGTCAACTGACCTGCATACTTAGGCATTATTTAACCTCATTACTTCAGCTGTGCAAAACAAATGAGCAAAGAAAAACCCTCCTATGTATACGTGTCTATGCATAGACACAAAACCTGAGTCACAACAAGTTTTTATTATAAGAAAACTTTTCTTAATGTAGGAAAATAACCTATAAAGAGCCAAAAATAGCTTTGTACAATATATGCAGCTAACTTTAAAACTCACTGTGCTTAAGTATCGCATTTTATAAGACTCGGCAAAAGGGGATCATTTACATTGCTAATTTCCATAACTATAACTGAGATAACTACATTTTTTTATTTCTAACATATATTTTCATTCCCCTGAATTGATCAACTTTAGGGAAAAAAAATCTATACACACATTTAAATAAATCTTATTCAATTTCTGACAAACTTCCTGTTTTTTTCTAAATGTTGAGGACATAGGAGTTTGGGGTTACTAGTGCCAAGCAATGATGGAATTCTAAAGTTTAAAACATAATCTATTAAGAGAAACATTACTAGCAAAAATATTTTATAGATGGAGTTGAGCCAAAGTCTGAATGAAGTTATTATTCTTTTCAGGCTCCCATTCTCTTCTCTATCTCCATCCTCCATTTCCTTAAGTTTCTTACCTTTTTCATACTTGAACACTGAATTATCCCAACTGAAGCTCCCTTGCTCACATGAAGCCACCAGTTACAGTGTCCTCTTTCCTTACCTACATCTTTGTTATTTCTCTCTCCAGTAGCTCAAGACTCTGGAATAATTTCTTGATCTCCCATCTGGTGCCATTTAACTAATCCTAGGAGAAAATACTTAAATGTCCCCACTGTCCTGTCATTTGATACTGATTCAAGGCTCAGTTCAGGATATAACTTATTCCCTGGGCTATATGTCAGATGCATATTGAGGATATTCTTATAGAAAAATGAGTGAAACTTGCTTTTCCATGTTGACCCCAGTGGTTTGTCATTAATTATGCATTAATCACTGACACTTTTGGAGAAGAAAGCCATCTGAATAAAAAGGTTAAATCCTCGCATCTGTGGTTCAATGGGAGATCTGAATATTTGTATCAGTAGTTGAAGGAATTCTGGGCAATGCTTGTGTATGCTATCTTTTCTTCTGGGCCAGTGAGCCTGGTTTAGGGATAGGATGGGAAATGCACACAGGAGGGGAGGAGATTTTTGGCATTAGCAAGGGAACTGTAGTCTCCTGCCTGATTACCGACAGTTGCCTGAGAAGGATTTTGCATTGTGCAGAAGGCTAAAAGCAGAGTCACACTTTCTTTGCCAACAGACTTGTTGCCATGGGAACCAATGCAGGAAAATGAATATATGATGGGACATGAAGGATTAAACGTGGAAAAAATTGATAGGGAGTTGGTTTCTACAATTGAGCATTTGGGATTTAAAGAAACAGGGTGTTCCTCATGTATCCAGTTCAACAAAAATGGACAAAATGACTTGGCTGGTTGCTGTTCCTAGGAGCAGATGTACGGAATGCCAGGAGAAAGGAATATTCATGTTGCCTATAAAGGGAACTTTGTAAAATACAGTTCCATCCCTGATAAGGTTAAGCTCTTAAGCCCAAATGTTAAATTAAGTGTATGATCATATATGTCCTTTGGGAAGACTTGATAAACAAAAGCAGCCTTCTGTAACAACTCTAATCCTAGCACACACTAGCTGACAAGATTATTGCACACCTAATATTTTATTGCTGAAGCATAATTCCAAGTACTCAGAAACAAAGTACAACAACAAAAATATATAATTTACAAATATATAGCTCCCCTCCCCAACAAGGCAACTGTCATAAGTAACCAAGAACTTAATTTCTTTTTAAGGAATGATTATTTCACTTGATAGGAGTCCTCCCTTTGTTCCCTCTTTGTCATTCTGGACCTCATGGTAAACTGATCAAACCAGACTGTCCAGGAAAATCTTTACAGGGATTTAGAGTTTTAGCCTTATCCTAGAACTACTTGCATGTTGTATTTGCTGAGGCTCCGAGGAGACTGCACCCTCTTCCACCAAACTTCCAAAAGGCTATCTGCTAAAATTCTTTATTTAATGCCTTATTCCTATTGCTTTAGACATAGCCTACATTGAAATGTAGTTTTTTCTGAGGAGACAAGGAAAGGTCACACTGTCGATGGATGACTTGACCCTTCCTTGAGAGCTAGTATTAGTGACACCCTTTACCTGAAGTCTTCCTCTTCCCTCAAACATGAAGGAAAAATTTTAAAAAACTAGAAACATAACACTCACCTGGACAATGGATAGGGCTGCATTGCTTAGGGCCTTACTACGGTGCTCAGGAGTTCAGGAAGCAGGAGACAAACCAGTATTGGGTAATTATCTTTAGGGTACATCTAATGGCAAATGGTTTGAGTAAAGTAGGCTTTTCTGCAAGAAATACACTGGGCAGATTTCACTAGAAATGTTTTCTTACTAATGACTTCCTGATCTATTTGTTAGAGTTCCTTACTGAAGCCTTTAATAATCTCAACAGTGACTTCTTGAAATGTCAAAAGCCCATTAGTTTCTTTCCTTCCAAGAGTACTTAACAGAATTCTGAAATCCAATAAAGTGAATTTTCTAACACTTATAGTTTGGAGGCAAACTTGATAATATGTGTAGGACTCTAAACAGATGGGAGCTGGGCAGTGTTGCATAGTGGTCTTGCGTATGCTAAGCAAATTTCTTATATCAATATTCCAATAATTTTCAGGATTGGAGACTTCCAAACTTGTGGATTTTTTTTTTTTTTTTTTTTTTTGGGCAGGTAGAAATAACCTGATGCAAGACCAATCTTGATTGCTACATGAAGCCTTGTTTTTTTATAAAGGACAGGTAAACAGATCTCTTCCTGAGATAGGATAGTGAAACACAAGGGGTTCTTCATAAGTGGCTATTCTTTTGAATTTGTGATAGGACAGAGAGATGTCTGCTTTTCATATCTATATGGTCTCTTTGTTTTTGTAGTACAGGGGATTGAACCCGGGGTATTCTACCACTGAGCTGACCCCCAGTCCTTTTTTTACTTCAAGACAGGGTCTCGCTAGATTGCTTTGGGCCTTATTACGTTGCTCAGGCTGGCCTTAAACTTGTGATCCTCCTGCTTTAGCCTCCCTAGTTGTTGGGATGCAACACTGCCCAGCTCCCTATGGTCTAAAATCAGCCAGCTGATACCTGGAGGAAGCCTAGCCGATCAGGACTGAATTAAAGACTGAGCAGTTTTTGTTGTGGCTGTCCACTGATCCTCTCACTAACAGATAATACCTTGGACAAACTTGAACTTCTCCAGGGAAAGTATTTAATAATTTTAGCACATCTATTCATTCTACAAACCCTATAAGTTACTAAGAATTAAAATTCTGCTGCTTCAATTTTTTAAAACAATTTGAATTATGCTTTTTCTCTGAGGTCATTGAAGTGATTCTCTGCTATATCACATACACAGAGTTACCAAGAAGATCTGGTGTAGTGGGCCATGTGGCCATTTCAGCCATTCACCTAAGTGACATGCATCAGACGTGATCTGTGTCTACCTTGTTCCAGGTGCTCTGTACTTTATTCACTAGAAAATTTTATCTTAGGTGTTGTTCAAGTTTCTATAGTTCCCATTCTGTACTTTAATACAAAGTCTCCACCTCATGTGTTTGCTAACAGTAAGAAGTGTTATTTTTTTTATATTTAGGTACATGATAAGTGTTTATGATATGCAAGTCTATCAAAAGTCCATACAATTTTAATTTGGTGTTTAACACACAAATGATTCTTTTAAAGCAAAGACATCAAGAGACACCAAAGGTTAACTTCTATTCTTTCCTTTTCTCAAATTAATCCCTGCCATCTGAACATTAGCCTTTGTTATCAAACCTTGAGTTACATACTGGGTCTTCAGTGTCCTTACTCCAGGGAAGAGGAGCTGCCGGTGATTCCTGCACGTCCTCTGACTTTGACCCCTACAGGGCATCCCACTGGATGGACAAAGTCAAAGGCAAGTGGAAAGCTAAAGCTTTGCTGGTCTATGACTACTCCTCCCCTGTAGGATTTATTCCAGATGAGACTGCAGTTCTTTATGTCTCCACTGTCATCTGAGACTTGTCCTGTTTGAGGAAAAAAATTGTGTGTGTGTGTGTGTGTGTGTGTGTGTGTGTGTGTGTGTGTGTGTACATAGACAAAACCTGGGAACAGAAAAATGTTTCTTATCCACAGTAAAGCCAAACAGAAACATTTGCCATTTTATTAGACTGTGAGAGAAAATGACAATACATTGTTCTGTGCTCCCTATTTTCTTCTTATATTTATTAGACTTTTCATATGTCTGTCTTACCACTAGACTGTGTATCTTGAAGAAGAGATAATGGTTTATTGGTATTTATAGTTCATTGTTCTCATAGTTGACTTTGAACATAATCCTTTTCTCATTAACATTTGTTGATTAAACTGGACAGCAAGAAAAATATATGCTTTTAAAATCACTGATTTTTTTTTTTAAGGAGAATAAATACTAAAGACAAACCTAAGATGGTCCAGAGTCTGCCTTAGCTGAGAACCATTTAAACACCTCTCTAGGACCTGTGGGTGCTCAGTGGCAGAGCACCTGCAGGCTAAGCATGCCCAAGGCCCTGGGTTCAATCCCCAGAAATGCCACCTCCCTAAGCTACATCTGTTCACACCAGCAGGTCTGGGGAATTTTCAAAACACAAATAATATAAGGTGTAGGTGAGCATGTTGGGAATATTCATGGAAAGTAAAAAAGGGAAAAAAGAAATAGTCCCTTACCTTTGAGTAGTTTCTTATGATCTAGAGCCCTAGGTTACATAGATAGCAACTATGATTTTTAGGAAATATGCAGAAATGAGAAAAGGGGAGAGATTTGATATTGAGAGAGAGAGAGAGGTGTGTGTTTGTGTGTGTGTGTGTGTACAAAGAGAATCAGGGGGAGGAGAGAGAGATTTTCTCAAGTTTGAACTCCTCTGGGAAATGACCACATAGATCTGCAATGTCATTAACTGTGTCTGTGGGTTTATAAAGAATATACCAGAGTGCTGGCCTCCTAGAGAAATATGCTTTGATCATAAGGAGACCTTGAAATCCTATCAAGTACAAAAATATTGCCAAGGCAAATGATCCCAAAAGTTTGGCTGAAGAATTATGTTCCAAATTTGCTATCAGAGATAGCTGGTTTGAAATAAACCAAAGAACAGCCAGTAAAGAAATGTGTTACAAGTTAGAAACAGTTTACATAATGATAACACAGGAGAAATCCAGTTTGGAGAATGAGACTTGCCCACAACCTAACATCTTTCTTTTAGGGAATTCTGGCTTATTGAACACCAATAAAGTTAAGTCTTGCTTATGGCGATCATTCACTTATCCCTAAGGGAAGTGACACAACTGGACAGTCAGCACCTTGGGACAGGAAAGGTTTTAAAGGGTTTAATGTATTTGATAGCTTCACCACAGCTGCTGAAGGCCCTACCTAACCCAACCTCAGCGATGTTCCTGTTTGTTCTGCCTAAAAGCAAAGCTTCTGACCTCTTCACATCATGGAACAAAGAGAAAATGACAATGTTTGTGCAGCATTATGGAGCACAGATGTGTAGGAAAGTGAAAGCAATAAGTCATAAGCTCTCAGGCTCCAAGGGGATCATTATCAGCACAAGAGGGAACTATGCTAGCCATTGGGTAGGAAGCACTGCTCCCAGGCACAAAAAACTAACCATATATGACCAAGGAGAAAAAATACTGTAGGTAATATCTGATACCAAAAATATAGAGGTAGTATAATACCAGCAGAAAAGCACAAAGAACTATTGGAGTACCTAGAAACTTTACAAGGAGTTTTCTCATCATTCTCAGTAAAATTCTTCCTAATTTTCATTCTCATATTTAGTTCTCTGACTAAATCTATCAAAAGCTTATGGAAGCCTGACAATGAAATAGAAAATAAAACAAATAAAAAATGCCAAATGCTGTGTTCAAAAGAACAGACCCATGACAGACACCTGCTATAATTGCTCTAAGATCTGCAGCAATATTGTGTATAAGTTAAATTTGTTCAGGAGATTCTGAAAAGAGAGGAAGCATATCCCAAGGTGGTTGGTTCAAGGTAACAAAGTTATAAACACCACTCACCTGAGAAAGTTGAGTCCAATTTGCTAAGAAAGAGCCTAGTAGCTGAGCTGGTGATCATGTGGCTAGAAGAAACAATTTCCTTTGGAGGAAAATGCCCGGGTATTGAATTTTACATAAAACTTCAGGGAGGAACATCTTGTATTCCTTCTGCTTTTGTTTTCAGTTGGAAGAAAAAAAATATTAAGTGGTTGGCAGAAAAATACTATATATGCACAAATAAGTAGGGTTTTGATGGGATTAGCAGAGGAGAAGCCCAGCCACGGGTGCTAGTGAACTGGAAGAGTGAAGATATAATTAGCTTAGAAGAAGTAAGCAGAAGCATTTAGCTTCTTTAACAATGATCCAGCCATCAGAGGCCCTGAAATTCCAAATACCTAAGAACCAAAATAGCCTGAGGATATGTGTCACCCAGGCTGCCAAGGCTCTGTGCCTTTGACATCCAGTCAATGTAGCCAAAAGAAGAGCGGCTTGGGGATACTGTAAGCTATCCCTGGAATCTGGTTTTTGCCTTGAGATACTTTTTGAAATACATTGCTTATTCAGTTCATAATTTTAAAATCTGATTATAATATTATTCTCATTCCTTGTGCAGATAGATATAATGAAAAATTATCAGTTTATAGCAGATGCCTCGTTACCACCAGATGCCTGCTGAAAATAAAGCTAAACAGATACACACATATTCAGATGGATTAGTTTTAGAATTATATAAAGGTTATTCTAGGTAAGCTTAGTTCTTGATGTTTAGTTTTTGTAGGGCTCATTTAAATTTTAAGCAATTTATAGCAAATATATTCCCACATATTTGGACTTAGCATACCTGTAGGAAGTGTGGATTAAATAATGGGCAATCAACACAAAGACTTGGAGAAGCAAAAGCAAGTTGGAGACCTATTAAATGTATGAATGTGATAATTAAATTGAACCATTAAGAAACATGAAACCTTAAAACACACACTCATCTAAAGCTTAGAGAGAGAACAGAGTTGATGTCCTGGGTGTTTGATGCCACTATAGCGATTTAGTCAAATATCACTGAAACCACTTAAAATAAACTCAAAGCTCTTTTATTTTTCTCATGTTTACAGTATAGTTTCAAATTAATTCTCTCAAAAGAGTATGAAAAGGGGTGTTTGCATTAGTCCAACCGTCTACAAGGGAGTTGAAATGCCAAGGCGCAGGTAATAAAATCAACATATAATGCCGCCATCTAGTGGTGGATCTTTTTCACTGCAGAGATAAGTTCCTTAAAAAGTATGTGGATGTGTCTGATTATATGTATGTGGGTGTAGTTTATGAAGGTTTGAACTCAGTAATTTAAACTGAGGGTTTTATTGGATTGAAATACATGATTTGTTGCTTTATCAATTTTATCAGACTTTGTAGCCCCTGGAGGAATTTATATAAATAGCATTAACTCTTTCCTGAAGGGAGGGAGACAAAGGAGTCAGAACCTCTCAAGATCCTTTTCAGTCAGTCTTAGGACAAGACAATAATATATTTCATTTCTCCACAAAATTTTACATATATCAATATTGTCTGATATTAGACTTTGTTTCCTTTTTTTTTTTTTTTTTGGTGCTGGGGATTGAACCCAGGGCCTTGTGCATGTGAGACAGGCACTCTACCAACTGAGCTATATCCCCAGCTCAACTCTGACAACTTTTAATGAGATAAGTTGTAGTGATTTTACTTGTTCTGAGAAGATGCATGACTAGAAAAGTTACCAATACATTGCAAAAACAGCTCCTAGAAATGCATAGCAATTAAACTAAATATATTTATAATAGATGAATTATTTTTTTGTGTTGAATTGACACCTGGAAGAGCTGAAGCATCACTCTTTCAGCCAGAAGAAAGGAGAGGGTGAGAGAGAGGAAGGGAATCCAGGGATGTATGAAGTAGGGGTACCAATGTCAAGAGACCAAAGGAGATGCTGGAATCTGATTTCTTTCATTCTGTTTCTTTCATTCTTCTTTACCAATCTTCTATCTCTCTTTGCCTTTGCTCATTCTTGCTCCTGTAATAATTTAATTTCCCCTACCCAGTCCTCATCTGCTCTTACTCTTAGTTACTATTCAAAAATTCTTTTACTTAAAATACTAAAGTACTCTTACTCTTCTCCACTACTCTTTCCCCGTTACTATCCTAAGATAGCATCATTCTTTCAATTAATATTTCATTTTTCCATTTCATTTTTCATATCATTTTTGTTCAAGCAGACTTGGCATTCCTTTCTCATGCAAATATACTGACACTGGCCTATCAGACCAAACAGTAAGACCTTGGATAGTCTGAGGCAGCAGACTGTCAAAGAAGACAATGATGGAAGTTTCCTCTAAGAGAGACTTATGACCTCTAGATCTTTCTAAATCCAAAAATTTCATGAAAAGAAGATAATTAGCCAAAACAGAGAGCTAGCAAGTTCTCCTTATAAAAAGGCACGTGAAAAGCAGAGGCAGGATGACAGTAATTAGTATTAGTTTTATAAGCAAAATAATAGACAACAAAGATTTGATGTATGGGAATACTCAGTTCTGGAATCAATTTACTATGAAGCACAAAGAGAAAAACATGGGACATATTTTTGAAAGAAGCTAAGACAGCAATGTTTTGTTTGCAAGGAAATCAGGTTTTTATGAGCAATAAAGTGACCATGGTTAGGAGTTAGGAACTCACCAACTTGGGGCTCATTGTACTAAGACACAATTTTTCTTTTAAGGGGCTGAATTCCACTTTTTGTCCTGTGAAGGAAAAAATCTAACAAAGCCACTGTTCATGACAACTTAAACATGTTCTCATTCTCCTTTGTGATCAACAGGCCAAATTATGATCCTTATAAAAATTGGGGGGAGATGGTTTAATCAATATGATCTTGTTTTTTTGGGGGGGGAGTGTGTGTGTATGGTCTATCTGAATAGTCAATCATACCAATTTGAGGGGAAGGTGGAATGGTGCTGGGGATTCAACCCAGGGCCTCAGGCATGCCAAGCAATGCTCTACCACTAGGATGGATCCACCCAGTCTGCAACCCCCAGGTCTAATCACAGCAATTCTGTAGTTTTTGCAGTCGCCTGAGAAATTTACCTGGAACTTATCACATTTTCACTATAGGGATACAGGAGGTGGGATCCATCCATGAAATGATGCTAAAATGCAGGGTGTAGACACTGTCATGCTCAGCTGTGGCCAAAGGCCTATGCAGAGACAATTTTTTACTCTTCTTTACTCTGTAACAGGCAGCATGAGGAAGCAGTTAAATTTCAGAGCTAAAAGGGAATAGGGATTCCTTCTTCCAAACTACCCTACCCCTATTTTTCTTTCACAACTCCATATACTCTTCTCCCCACCTCCAACTTGTGAAAATCGCTTAGTCAAAGTAATATACCAGTGGCAATGTACAAAGAATGGTTAAAAAGGGTGCAAAACCAGACTTAACCTCCTTAGTTTAATAGTCTTCAGGGCCTTGGGGACTCTTGGTAAAATGAGGGAACTGGGTTTGATTATCTCTAAAATGCCAAAATCATGGCCTTCTGAGTTCAGCCTCATGCATTCATCCTCTAAGATATTTCTGACAACTATATGCATGAATTCTTCCCAGAAGAGAAATGAAACAAATTCAAAGAATAGATACGATATGCTCCAATTTAGTGAACACAAGCCACTTCTTAAATGTTTTAGACAGGGTTAGGTGCTTAGAACACATAAGAGGGAAATTAAAAATAATTTCTGATATATCACAAAAGACCTAAGAGTTTTTAGAAGAAATGCCAAGGAGAGAAGGAAGATCAGGTTAAAAGAGTTTTTTTTTTTTTGTTTTTGTTTTCAAAACTAGGAATGGTGAATGAACTGAGAAGATACAAGGTTCATGGTTTAAGGTGATGAAAATTGAACATCAGTTTCCTGTTTAATTCAATATTTATTAAATGCATTTATGGGTGAGGCCTGTCATCCATTTAAACAGTGCACAAATATATATTGAGCATCTACTGTTTCTGACACTAAGACAAGCATTAGGATGTAGGGTTAGCAGAAGCAAAGGTGTCCTCCTAAAGTTCTCCCCAGAAGGCCTCTGTTAAACATTGTCTGATCCTCTCTCAAGGAGGTTACAGTTGACAGGAGAGAAAAAACAAATACCAAAATAGCTGTCATTTCAGGCAGAATGTGAAGATACTACAAAATAAACAAAGTATCATAATGCATAATTCTTTCCAGTAAGACTAGGGAAGGCTTAATGTTTGGAGTGCTGTTGAAGCTGGATCTGAAGTCTGCATATGACTTTGATAAATTAGAAAGGGAACGAGGACAGGAAGCTTTCCTGTAGAGAAACTTGTGGGGACAGAAGCTGCAAAAGCACAGGGAAGGGGAAGGATCTCTGTGTCTAAAACACTAAGTACACATAGCATGAGGGAAAAATAACTCAGATTCTAGGATCAAACTTTTCTTGGAAGAATAGGTATCTATGATACATGGATAGGTGTGATCCAACCTCATACAAATAGTATTTTCATGGGATTGGGTAGAAATCTTGCAATGAGAATTTTCTTTTCTATGTCAGGCAGCATGAGGCAGCAGTTAAATTTTAGAGCTAAAAGGGGATGGGGATTCCTTCTTCCAAACTACTCTATCCTTATTTTTCTTTCACAACTCCAAGTGAACTCCTAAGTTCAAAGGCAGCCAGCTGAATGAAGGTTCAACCCACTGCATTCTTGAGCTGCTCATGCTAACATTAGACCACTGTGTTGAGAGTCTGCCTACAGGAAGCAGTGGTCACAAGAGGCATTGCACATATAAGAATGTTTTCAGTCAACACCTCAGTCTGTCCAAGCATTGACTCACATCTCCTCCCATCATGTAAAGGGCACACAGACCCAATTGGCGCTGGGCCAGTTTGAGGAGCACCATTCCTCATTGTGTTCCCTTTCCTCTTTAGGGCTTACAAACTGACAAAATTATGGCCTCTCTTCAAGATGCTAAAGGGATTCTGGTTTCTATTTACCTTGTCCAACAAGGTATTCACACTGGCCACATCCCATCTATGCAGTTTCCCTAAGTCCTGCAAACATTCACGGTGGCTTCCCAGAGGCAGTAGGACACAGTAGGGAGCCCTACTGGCAGCTACACATGGAGCAACTGCGTTCAGATTTGACTAGATACAGGTGCCAATTCCTTTGCCAACAGATGAGTTAAGGGCAAAGGACAAAGGATCTCACTGCATTGTCACGTACTGTCTGGAATTTTGTGAGGTTCCTGGGATGAGGAGACTACATGATCTTCCTTGTGGTGCCTGATAGGTAGTTGATGCTCAACAGATACTTATAATATTGATAATCATTGCATTTAATGTTTTTGTTATCTGCGTCTATGAAGTCTCCAAATGTTTCCAATTTATGAAAGACACACCTCAAGCTTCTGAGATTCAGTTACACTAAAATGTTTTCCCATGGAGAAAATACACAAGTTGCTGATGAAAATAAAAGTCCCTGTACCAGATACTTAACTCTAGGTGTAGAGATGCCTGGCTATCTGTTAGGCTAACTCATCTTTTAACTTTAAGGGAGGAAAAAAAATCATCACAAGCAACACTCTTGTACAACACTAATGAAAAATACTTTTAAAGCTAGGGAAATTTTGGAAGAGTCACTTAAGTTTTCTTCTTAGCACCAATCCCAACACCCATCAAAAATTAGATTAACCTTAAAGAATAAAAACAGCTGCCTTCTTCTTCTTCTTCTTCTTCTTTTCTTTTTTTCTTTTTTTTTTAAGGAGAAATGGAAATTGTGCCTGCTTTAAAAAATCTCACTTTTGAATTAAAAAAATAAATTCACTTTTGAAAACTTGACTCATGACTTTTCTTTGGGTCAGGCCTGGTTCTAATGCTATACTAATAGGAATCAAGGGATTTTAATACTTTCTATATAAATGCTGTTCAGGTTTACAACCTTCTAGACTTTCGGTTGCTGCTGTGAACAAAATTAGGCCAAAAAAGGGAACATTTTGCAGACAGCTTGGGGAGAAATCGATGCAGCTGTAGACACCTTTAACCCCTGTGCATGCCTGCTATCCAGGCCAATTTCTTACCTTGCTTGTCACTATGTTGTTACACAGACCGCAAGCTGGAGTCCTGCACAGAATGTAACCCAGGAAACCTGGCCAACTGAAGAAATACCTCTCAAGTTGGAACAAGTAAGTGATTTTCCTTCTCTCAGTTATTTCTCCTTATTTTGGCTTCTACCAGGGCAGTTTAAGATAATCACACTGTTAAAAGCCGGGGGAATTCAACAGTCCTCTGTTTTCACTGCAGGATGTTTAATAAAAACTTGGAGTGAACCTCTGCCCCTCATTGTATCAGAACTTTCTGAATTTTCTGAGTAGAATTTCTTGTACTCTCAACCCTTACAGGAAACTTTCCAAACCATTCTCTGCAGATGGAGTGAAAGGTGAGGAGAGAGGCCTGGGGCAATGACAAGCCGCCAGCTAAATGAATGTTGTTCACTTACTGTTTCTGAGTAGTTCATTTCTGGTCTCTTGCTCCCTGAGTGCCTGCTTGAAGGCAGTGGTCACAGGACAGACCTTCTGGGGCTCTCAACATAGAATAAGTTTATGAATTTTATTTTAGAAAGCTCAGAGAAAGTCTCTTAATATGGCAAACTCCAACATTTAAAAAAAGATAAATGAAAAACTAAATAATAAAAATGGGAACAGTTCTATTAAGGCAGTGCCCACCCTCACCCTTGCCTGTAAGCTTTGCAATGTGGTTGTCAGTGACTCAGTAAGTGCCCCACCTTTGGGCCTTGGTTACTGTCACTTCTCCAGGTTCCATGATCACCTAAGACAATTCCTTCCAAACTGGGAGCTGAAGCTGTCAGCTGATGCTCAAGGGTCTCTGAACAGCTGGAGCTCTACAGGGGCCACTTATGCTTGCTTCAGCAAGAGAACAGCACACCACTTCCTTTGAGCAGCATGGGGTTGGAGGGATGGATCTACAGTGGCAACAGCAGCAATGAAGAGAGGTCAGTTTTGCATCTAGAAACAGAAATGCCCCTAGATGTTTCAGGATATAACTGGAAAACTCGATTGCACCTGCCTTAGTTTTGTACAGTGGGGTGTCTTGGAAAATACCCACTCTGAGTAGTTCAGGTCAAAATGGAGTTTAAAAGGATGCATGGGAGAGCTGGGTCTCCTATAATATTAACCCACATGATTTCCATAGTATACATCCATTTTTCCACAGCCACATTCTACTTTTTTTTTTCTTTGAGGTACTAGGGATTGAACCCAGGGGCATTCTACCACTGAGCTACATCTCCAGACCTTTTTATTTTTTTATTTTGAGACAGGGTTTTGCTAAGTTCCTTAGGCTGAACTTGAATTTGCAATTCTCCTGCTTCAGCCTCCTGAGTCACTGAGATTATAGGCCTATGCCACCATGCCTGGTTCCACATTCTATTTTCTTTCTATAATGTATTTTTGGGTTATAGTCTTGTTGGGTGATGGGGAAAACTTCTGAGCCAAAGCGAGATGCTTTTATTCATCGGAAGTACTTGTGTTACTAATGGAAAAAAGTTTATGTATGTGTGATCTTGAGTCTGGAACTTTCTCCCCAGTTCCCAGTTGATCAGGTAGCTACAATCATAAGAGAGGGCACATCACTAACTCAAGTTTTTGAACATTTTATTAAGCTCAGAAAGTCAGCATTTCTGTGAGAGACACTCTACTGGGAACTCAGCCCTGCTTTTCCTATGCTAGATAAAGACCCACCCTTTTAACTTATTGGATTTCACTATCTGCACAACTTTTTACTTTTTGCTCATCTAGCATTTCAATTAACCTGCTATTTGGTCAAATGTGTTGTCTGACTGAACTGACAACTTTTTATAACAATGTGGATTTTTATCTGGTAATATTGTATCCTTGTCTCTTGATAAGAGTATATTTATCAGAATAGGTATTCTTGATTTGTGTGCCAACCAGGAGCAGAAATTGATCAAGGATATCATTAAAAGTCACTGGAAAGACAAATTGGTAAGTACACTGCATTTTTCAAAGATCTAAATCGTGGTAGAGATATTAAATAAATTTTATGATTAAAAGTAAAGTTTTTCTGTTTTTTTTTTATCCAAACATTATGGCAAATTCAGATATTTTTCATGTAATGTTTGAATACATAAATCTAAATTCAACATTTTCTTGTCTCTGAATCTTTTCTTACTTTACCTCACACAATAAAAGGTATTTTAGTCCTATCTTAAAATAAACAATTATAGTAGTAATATGTGTACAATCACCTTTAAGATTAAAAACAGATCAATATTAGCTTGTCACCCCCTCTTCAAAGCTGTTTTCCATCTTGATGGTGGTAATCCAAGGTAAGGTGCAGAAACAATACAGATAGTTTGATCTCTATATATTACATTTCCAAGTCACTGGGATACATATTTTCCATGGGCTTCAAATAGCAACAAATTAGCACAATGCAAATACTTGTGTGTCATACTGACTTTGGGTATTCTTTGTCATAATACACTAACCATTTTGAAATTATTGTGTGTTTAGGCAACTTGTGTTATCTAGAGGGCTGGAATTATCCTAAGAAAGCTTTTATGACAACGTACTATTTTAAAAATCATCTACCAATGCCTTTTGTCTTGCAAACTCTGTGACAATTCTGCTAATAATTTTCACCATTTGTTCTTTCCACCTCTAATCTTTTTCAGTTCCCTCCATTACATCTTACTGATCTGTCACATAGAAACAGCTTCCTCAGCAAAAAAACATCAGTAAAAAAAAAAATCAAGAAGGGCCATTATGAATTCCACTCCTTTTTGTTGTTGATTTTTCTTTTTTTAAAGGCACACCCTTGACTTTTATTGTTGTTAACCCAAATTAGATTCTAAGTTTCAGGCAGCAAGCCAGTTATTAAAAAGAAGTTGATACTTAAAAATCAATGACTTATTGGTTTTGGTTCCCTATCAATTGATTAATTGGATGTTTTTTTCCTTATGTGATTATTCAGTCAACTAAAAAAAAAAATCCCCTTTTCATTATTACCTGCCTGTTCTCTGCATGCAGCATGGTAGTACAACTGACAATGAGGTGTTCTGGCATCAGATTTCTTTTCCAGTTGGTCAGGGGGTCCCTTTTCTCTTTTCCTCATTTCTGAACTGTGGAACAGGAAGTATTAAAGCATTGGCCTAAGATAATGTTGTCACATCAGGAGTGGCACAGGTGTTTACTAGGATCTTGATCCTCTCAGCTGAGTGTCTCAGAAGTATCTCCTGATGCCTTGGGATTGATGTTGAAACCTAATGTAAGAAAAAGACTTGGGGAAGTCCCACACTGGGCTCTCCTCCTGCCTCTCCCACTAAAGATTAAACAGCACTGTTGGAACAATTTGAGATGTTTCCTTGACACAAAACTACACTCCTGAGTTTGTTTTCCTGTAAGTGATCCTGGGGTGGCCAGAGGGGGATCTTGATCTTGACGAATGATGATCATCCTACAGTATTTGGATACAGTGGTTGTGGCATGAGTTTTAACAAATAGAATCAGGCTCTGAAAGAATTTTCTCATCGAAAACTCAATATTTTAAAATGCATTCAAAGTTGCTTCTGGGAAATATACCAAATAAGCCAATCATTGAATCAGCTAATTGTCAAACCCTATAAAATTTTGGAATCATGTCACCTGACATAAAGCAACATCAAAATTAGTGCACCATCTATAAAATTAACTATCATTTGCCATCAAGTGACAAGTTCTACGCCAAAAAATACCACTGCACTTCTAATAAGTGACACTCATTTTAATAGACCCTACAAAAATACAATATTTTCAGTGTCCCCATAAAACAGTTAACTTACAAATATTATTCTCAGAGCTCTCATGACATCAATATGTGATTCTATTGTAAAATCCCAATAGAATACTTGAATCGATAGCATATGAAGTAAATTCATTATATATCTATAAAGAGCTATGTAGAAATATGAGAGAGAACACATATAACCAATTCTTGGAAATTATTCTAAATTTTCAAATTCATATTTTAATCAAATTAATAATTAACAAAAATAAATATTATAAAGGATTATAAGATGACTTTTGATCTTATAGAGGAAAACAGTTCCAATGTAAAAGTAAATAATTCTATATTAACTATGCTTATATCACTCTCTAGAGAGCATATTCATAATTTAATATACCTTAATACATTCTTTGGGGAAAAAAGTATTTTATCTATTTCTGTCCACAAAACAGCATTAAAATTAATACAGGTAGACTACAGCTCTGAGAAATTATATTTGAAGTTTCATATTTAATGCCAAAGTTTTAAAATCACCCAACATTAACTTTCTAACAAGTCTTTCTTAATGATAAATTTTATCAATTCCCCAAACTCATTTTAAATGATTTAAAAGTAGCAAATTAAAATAAAGCAGCACACAAATAAATTCCACATTTACAAGTAAAGAAATCACAGGGGCTACAGTTTATAATCAACATAAACTGGAAAGAAAGAAATCAATACTTTTCCTGCCACCCATCATTCACTGCTTAAATTTTTGGTGAAAAAGACTTATCTACAATGACCTTTAGTCTGTTTTTTAACTCTGCATTTATTGTCGTTATCTAAAGGCATTGAACAAATTAGTTTTTCCTATTTTTATTCAGGTCCCAGTGATAAATGGAGAATTTATGAAATATTTCACTCTGTGTTATGAGAATTTAGTAAATGAATATGGAACCAAATATAAACACTTTATACCATATGTACAGTTACTTTCATAAGGCATTATCATGAATTTTTATTGAAAAAGATTCAATATAGTAAAGTCTTATTTTAAGATATATTTCTTTCTCAATCCGAGATGTTTAGTTTATGAAAATATTGTTTTTCTCTATATTCTTTTTGTATATATGCCAACATATACCTTGTGCTAGAAATATTTTATGGGAATTATAATTCTTTATGTTCGTATTTTCTATATAAAGGCATATACAACTTTGAGGCAGTGTTTCTGATGGAGAGCAGAATTCATAAAGAGCTGTGTGTGCTTCCGTGCTCTGAAATTATATGAAATCCACTTTGAGAAGAAACTTATTTGATTAAAAAAAACAAAAAGAAAAACAAAACTGCACCAATGCACAGCCAGAGGCTGACAGTTAGAACTAATACATAACCACATGAACATCATATTTGTAGAGTTAACATTTTTAAGGATGATCAGTGCTAACATATAGTATTATACATTTGGCACTAATGTTTGCCATTGGTCCAGCAATTGGCAAAATTTGTTTCTATGTATAAATTTCTTTTTGAACATTAGGTCTGGCTAGACATATCTTCACTATTTATAGAAAATATTTAGACAGTAAGCTCACGTTGAATAACTAGGTCTACTGTGTTCTGGAAACTCTTCAGTAGTAATACAGCCTTTTCATGTTCCATATGTACAAAACTGTGTCCATTTGCCTGCAAATGCAAAATAAAACAAGACAATCAATGCAAAATACTTGCTTATCATTGTATCATTGTTTCTAATCATATGATCCAAGGGAGCACTGAGCAACAAAAAGATACCAGTTTTAAAATTCACAGTGAAATAGCATCTATGGAAGTAACTTTATCCAATTTATCCAGACTTAATCCAATTTATTAATTCCACTAGTATTTATCCAATCTAGTATGTTTTTGCCACTGTGTTGATCATAAAGATACGTTGCTGTCCAGTGTGGTGGTGCACATCTGTAATCCCAGTGGTTTGGGAGGCTGAGACAGTAGGATCACGAGTTCAAATCCAGCCTCAGCAAAAGTGAGGTGCTAAGCAACTCAGTGAAACCCTGTCTCTAAATAAAATACAAAAAAATGGGCATGGGATGTGGCTCAGTGGTTAAATGCCCCTGAGTTCAATCCCTGGTAAGAAAGGAAGGAAGGAAGGAAGGAAGGATGGAAGGAAGGAAGGAAGGAAGGAAGATATATTAGTGAAAAACAGGTTTGTGGTACAGTAGTTCAGTCTGGCTGTTGTTCTAGAATTGTTTACAGAGTATCCTAGTTGAGATGGATTGGGAGTATCCACATGGCCATTGCCTATTGGTTGACTTTTTCAATCTTCAGTGGACTGACACTTATTTTAGGCATATGGTGCCTTTGTTATTTTACTTACTCTTTTTATGCTTTTTAAAACATGATTAGTATTACAAATAACCAATCACTTAAATGTTTCACTGCCTTTAGTTTAGTTTTTTTTTGAGAGAGAGAGATAATTTTTTAATATTTCTTTTTTAGTTTTCGGTGGATATAACATCTTTACTTTTTAAAATTTTTATGTGGTGCTGAGGATCGAACCCAGAGCCCCGCAAATGCCAGGAGAACACACTACCGCTTGAGTCACATCCCCAGCCCCTGCCTTTAGTTTTTAAAATTTCAAATAGCATTACATCTCCAGCAAACTGTATAGTCTTCATAATTTAGAGGAAAATCATCTGATACATAATACTTTTTCAGTAGTTTTTAAAATTGACTAGACAATGATGTGATAAAGAAGGTTCTAAAATTTGCATGTTTTAAACTACATTATGTCTAAACAGTAAGGAAAATACTAGGAAACAAAATGTAAACCCTTGGAAATCCATATAGCATAAATTGTTTTGCATTAGCAAAACCCTAGGCATTGTTTAATAATTTAATGAAAATGTTAATGAAGTGGGCATTAGCTGTTTCCAGTGGCATGAGATAGTAACTGAGTAGAATTTGGGGTATGTTACACAGTTCAAATTTCTTGATTTAAATTATATAAAAATCAGAATGAAGTTTCATTTCATATTATTTGTGGTTAGATGGTAACAGCGAATAGAAAACAGAGCTAATGGTACATTCTTCTTTCTACTCTTATCCTGTTTCTGACATCAGAAAAATAGCAAACTTGCATGAAATATATACACATATATATTAAACTAATTTTTATTAAAGCATTATAGTTATATATAATATAGTTTGTTCATTTTGAAAAAAAATCAGACTAAAGTATAGTTGTAACGGGTACACTAACTTAGTGTCTTTAATTTTCCCCAAATGTATACTTAATTGTGAAATTAAACTTTAACTTTACTAATGAAGTTCTTGTATGTTAAAACTTAATAATACACTTGTGAAGGCTCTGATTCCTCTACCTGCAGCCCCAGCAATGAATTAAAAGCCCACTGAGAGTTTTCAGAGAATTGCTTGAAATTTAAATATTTCAGAGTTTCAGAGATAAGGAATTTGCTAGGATTTGGAAGCCATGGTATTTGCCTCAGTCTTAGACCTGATATAATATCAATGCTAAAAATAGACAATAGTATTAGCATTAAGGGCATGAGTGGTGCAAAACTTAGCCAATTAATCATAGTTATTAATTGTGAACCATTCTTTTTTTAGTATGGGGGAGTGAACCCAGGGGCACTTGACCACTGAGTCATATCCCAGCTCTATTTTTTTTTTTTTAATTTAGAGACAGGGTCTCACTGAGTTGCTTAGCACCTCACCATTGCTGAGGCTGGCCTTGAACTCGTGATTCTCCTGTCTCAACCTCTCAAGCCCCTGGGATTACAGGTGTGTGCCACCATGCCCATCTAATTTTGAACTATTCCTTTATTGAAAGATCTTCAAAGAAATTTGGTCCACTTTGAGTATGATTATTTTTTCAACAAAAAGTGTCTGTTGTGTGCTGACTGTCCAAGATATTACAGTAGACTCTGGGCAGAAACTCAGGAACAGATGAACATGGAGGTTCCTAGGTAAAGGGTGGCTGTCCAGCAGGGGAAGCAAGCCATAGGCACAAATGAAAATAATATACAAGATGCCTTTTAAAATAAAAGGACTACCGTAGACACTAAGCCACTTGTCTGAAGCCACATAGCTCAGGGAGTGGGTTAGGACTTCATACTTTTATGCTCTAATTTTTATTCCTTCTTATTATTTCTCCCAATCATTCACCAAAATAATCAGAGCATGGTCATTTCATGTGATCTGAACTGACAATTCACTTGCCATGATAAAATGTTCAACATTTCCTCCTTCAGCATTGTGGCTCCATCTTCTCCTGGAATTCTGTGCTTTATTGTGGTTGCAAAGCTACTATCCTCATACTGATTCTTATCAGGTGTAATTTCACTTATTTCAAAAAGACTGATAGAGATAACCTTTAGCCCTGAATTGAAAGCTACAGAAAATGCTGAATCTCTCCTTGTAGTTTCATCTCTGGCTTAATTGGGTTGTGGTGGCCATATGGGAGCTTTCTTTTCTGAACGTCAAGAACCAAGTCTGAATGTCTGCTGGGGCAATGCCAAAAAACTTGTGAGAGAACAGATGAGAAAGAAGAAAACTTCTAATAAGAAGAATCTACAATTTTGCTCCTGATTAGACAAGGGTGTAAGAAACAATTAAGAATCAAACTGTGATGCTAGTAACTGAAAATAGAAACCTTGGAGAAACGAGGATAAGAGGACAAGTGGAGTTTTCTGGCAATAGAGACAAGGGAACTACTGATCATCCATTTGGAAACAGGAGAGTGGAGTCCAGGAAGCAGGTCAGAGTGGTCCCAGTAACACCAGAGGTGAGGTTTTATAGCAGGCTGATCCCACATGGAACACTGAGATTTACCAGAAAAATCCAACTGCAGGAACAGGATGGAGTTCAAGTTTTGGAAATGTAGAGCAGAAATAGAAGACAGTGTTTGCTGCTAATTTTGGGGATATCTATGTAAATCTGCTTGAAGTGAGGTAGAAAAGGGGACAGGGCCTGTTACTTCCTATCAGAGGGTGGCAGAAGCTGGCTTTAGCCTGAGAAACAAATTAAAGAGCAGAGAAAACCCTCATGATATCCACACACTGAGCCCAGAGGCCAGGAAACCCTGAGTTCCTAAGAGACCCAAGCATGAGGAGACCTGGGAAGGGTCATCCTGAAGAGGGACCAAGTAGGATGCTCATAGAGGAATAGAAAATCCAAGAGAACCAAACATTTTCTAGTGCCACCAGTTAGCACAATTTTTCACAGCACAGACAAATAAGCAGAGAAAAGCTGAATTAATTCTGGGCTCAACTCCGGCTCTGGTTCTGATAAACCAAACTTTACGATGTTGAGAACCACAATCCAGGCTGACTCAGGGACAACAGATCCCTTCATAAATTAGCTCTGAGAACAGCTTGAAAACACCAGCTTTTGGCTTTTGCACTTACTACATACAAACTAGAGTCAGAGCCCCCAAAACACATAAATAGAGCCGACCACCCAGAAGGCAAGAAGCATGTTGGTGAATTAGATTCCCAGTCAAACGAACACTAGGGTGCTCTCTGTAATTCCAGTCCCCAGACATGTTTTGATTTAAAATTAGAGGGTTGGTGAACCTCAAGAGGCCTGTTTAAAAGAATACAACCAGGGACTGTCTGGGAATGGCTCCAAAATACCAGAAAGACTCTGAGTTTTAGTTTAGAAAGTTTACAAAAGATCAAACGAGTTAATATATGCCAAGCGCTTAGGATGGGGCCTGGCACATGATAAGCAATCAAGAAAAGCTAATACTATTAATGTTACTACACTAACACTACCTAGAGTTTAAAAAAATAAGACTTTCATTAAGCCATAAGAACAGAAGTTAAAAATATCAGAAGAACTATATTTTTCTTTCTTTTTTTTTTTTGCTTAGATAAAACCCTAATTTTTTGATAGATGCAAATGTTAGGATCAGAGTGATCACAGGAAACATTCAAGATAACAGCAGGTGGCTAGGTGGGAATTATGACACAGTTGTCAACTCTCTGGATCTTGGTACAATTTGTTTCTTTGGATGTTGCAAGATTGCAATTCTTATTGTAGATTTGTTAAATAAATTCACTGCTTTTTAATGCTTTTTTTTTTTTTAGTTGTTGATGGACCTTTATTTTATTCATTTATTTACACGTGGTGCTGAGGATCAAACCCACTGCACATGCTGGGCAAACACTCTACCACTAAGCCAATACCAACCCCAGCCAATAAATTCACTTTTTAGTAGTAATTTAACTATTTCTTGATAAGCGGCATTGTGTTATGCCTGTTACCAGGGACAGCAATGACAGAAGAGCCTGGAAAAAGGGTTTGAGTGGAAGAGATGACAGAACCTTAGCTCTAGAGAATCTTCTTCTTTCATCTGTAGGACAAAAAAGCAAAAAGAACTTATATTTGTTACTATGAAAATGGCTATCTGGTTTATGTCTTGAATAGTTCAGACAGGAATCAAAGAATCATGTTACTGTATTTGTAGGGATTTTCCAAATAAAATTAAGAAAAAAATATTTTTTTCATTACTGTGGATTGAACCCAGGATGACCTACCATTGAGGTACATCCCAGTTTTTAAAATTATTTTATTTTGACACTATGTCTCATTAAGTTGCTCAGGTTGATCTTGAACTTGAAATCCTCTTGCTTTAGCCTCCTGAGTAGCTGGAATTATAG